GGAGGAGAGAGAGAGAGAGAGAGAGAGAGAGAGAGAGAGAGAGAGAGAAGTATCTTATACGTCTATATAAGAGTATCTTATGAGAGGAAAGGGATTTGAAGGTAATATACCTAGGAATGTCCGAATCAAGAAACTGTCTGGAAAAACACAAGACAACATTCTGTTAGTGGACTAAAAAAAATATTAGAATCAGAAGGTGTGGAGGCCCAGAAGCTTGTTTCCAATTATTTGACTTGTTGTTTGAATATAATTTGGCTGTCAAGGCCTCTGCACAACTCTCCTGTCACATATTTGTCCTTGTTCCTTTGCATTGGTGCATGAATCCAGCTCCGTTACATGGTTTTATAGGTAGTGTGGACTATCTAGTGAAGACTTGTGGTTAAATCGCAGGAGAGGAGGTCACTGCTGCTTGAAACGGAAGGTTCGAATGATTCTTTTATGCGGTTTTGCATCAGTGGGGTTCAGGCGGACACATCTAATAATATATTATGATTTTATTTGAAGCATTTCATGTTTGCAAAGTCTGGATGCTGATATATGATGCCTATCTAAGGTGAAGTCCTAGTAATACATTGCAGATGACAAAATGCTTTGTTTGGCTGCTACAGCATAACGTGACATGAGAAACGTGGCCTTTTGTTTACAATAACTAACATGATTAGAGAAAGTTAATGATGGAGTTGATTAGTAAAGTGTTCATAAATGAGCTTCTAGTGATTTTAAATGGTAAACATTCTTCTGAAATAAATCTTCACATGTAAATCAGAGCTACGTGATGGTGACTAGCAAAGATGCCAAGAACTCGATCCACTGTGTTGTTCAGTGAGCAGGTAGTTGAGTCTGAGCAATGGAGTGTGTACAGAGCAAATGGAATGAACAGATGAGAATGGACACAAATGCAGACCAGCATCAGATGGGAAGACTTGCACAACCAGCAAGGAGGTGAACTAGAGAACCGTTTTTTCAATTCCCTGCCTTTCGGAAGATAGTGAATTAATATTTTCAGATTGTTGGTTCAATAAATTGTGACCTCCTTCATCAAGGCTAATAAAACCACATTCTGTCTTACATGCAGTGGGAGAGGAATGATAATTATGAGTTTTATAAAACAGAAAAAGAGCAGCTGCATGGATTAGTCTGTCAGTCAAGCGATGCGTTAAAAGCATCCTGACCCCCTGCGGTTATGTCATGCAGCAATGTCTCCGCAATGATTAAACGCAATCCTACAGTTGGGAAAGAGGTGTGTTGAGAATTTGCGTTAAGATATTTTAAGCATTTATCAGGGCTTATTTTATCTGTGTGCCATGCACTCTCAGAAATAAAAGCTGTCACTGGGGCATATCCTTCTCAAAAGGTACACCTTTGTACCTAAAGTATTGGTACCTTAGTACCTAAAAGGTACAAAATTGTCCCTTTTGAAAAGGTACTGCCACAGTGACAGCTTTTGAATGAAATGACTTTTGAAAGAGATTCATTTTTTGCATCAACAAGTTGTTTGGAGCTACTACCATAGCTAGCCAAATGCTAACCGTTTAATTTTCAGTAACTTACAATCTTACTATCAACTGTTTAGATAAAAAAGTGATATACTTGCACAATGTAAATCTAAAAAAAAGATAAATAAAAAATACCGCAGCCGTTCAGGTTAGGTTTTTATATACTGTCCAATTCTGATCCTATAATATTCCTCATGTAATATGTCAAATTAAAACAGTACTTACACTGTCATTCATAAATAACTTTTTTGTTTCCAATTTACTTGCACTACCATTCAAAAAAAATACTTAGGATGCATCGAATTTAACAGTAAATACATTTATAATGTTACAAAAGATTTCTATTTCAAATAAATGCTGATCTTTTGAACTATCCTGATAAAAAAGTATCACGGTTTCCACAAAAATATTAAGCAGCACAAATGTTTTCAACATTGTTATTAATAATAATGTTTCTTGACCACCAAAATCAGCATATTTGAATGATTTCTGAAGGATCATGTGACACTGAAGACTGGAGTAATGGCCGCTGAAAATTCAGCTTTGCCATATATTAGAAAACAGTTATTTTAATAAATAAAGTATAATAATATTTCACAGCATTACTGTTTTGATCAAATAATTGCAGCCTTGTTAAGCATAAGGGACTTCTTTAAAAAACATTAAAAAAAATCGTATAGACCCCAAACTTTTGAATGGTAGTATACTTTTAAGATCCCCTAACCTTTAGTTTTGACTTCTTTTGGAGTTCTTTTTGGTTCCCCCTTAACTGGATGATCAGACTCTCCCAAACCCGTAATGTGCACCTAAAAGCCTCAATATGGCAATACTAGTAAGTGCCAGTTGTCAGCCACCTCAACTATGCAGCAACTTATGGTATGTTTGTGTAAAGGAACATAAAAGTGTGAATATACTTCTTGTCTTTATCTAAGGCTGGCGCTGTGGCTGTGCTGTTTGATTTTGAATCACTCCCTTGATACAGGACTTTAAGAGCTGTTTTGAAGGTTTGGTTCACTGACTCATTTCTCTTTGGCAAAAACTCATCGCTTTAAAGTTGTGCAGAGAACTGTTTGTCACAGGCTTGGCTCCAGCTCTCAGATCATGAGCCAAGGCTGAGGAGAGAGTCATATTAAGCACAGCAATCACTAAAATGGAGACCTGGTATTAAAAAGAGTGTAGTGGGAAACAGCCAAAGTTAAGAAAATCTGCTACTGAGTGTTCTTAAGGAGAAAAAAGGCTTCATGACAGAAGAATAAAATTCCCTTTGGAGGTGTTCTTGAATATAAAATGACAAGCATAACTTTCAAGATGTCTTATGTTTAGTGTTAAAGACATGAGAAAGTCAATTCTATTTGTAAACTTCTAAACTGGTCTTGTTATATTTATTAGGGTTGGGAATGTACCTGTCATCATGTGCGGGATGGATGTATCCTGCAGACAGTATGTTGAGAGAGAGAATATTGGGGTCGATGATTGTCTCATCTGCTTCAGGCGTGTTCCGGATGCGCCCTGTCAAACACAAAATACATCCCATATGTTGAATATCATCAAATTTCACTTTGGTTTGCGCATAAGCATTTACATTTGAGCCCAAACTCACCTACAACCAGCTCTCGCACTTCCTTCCACTTAATATCTCTTCCTGACTCATGTACTATGGTGACTGTGACTCTCCTTTGGATGCCCTGTTATGTAAATGTTGTGTTATTTTATGTTTTTATGTTATTATTAATTTTGAAATCTAATGTTAAAATAAACAGTATGAGAGAAAATAACAAAATGGAAAGGGAAATAGAAATAGAAAAAAAATTATAATTCCCAGTACCTGATGTAACATGAAAGTGCCATGGCAGGGCATGGCTACCCGGTGGTCCACTACGGCTGGGATATAGCTGGAAGGGAAAGATATGTGTCATATAAAATAACCAGCACCCTTTCCTGGATATAAAAACTGAACACAACATGTACAAGTATAATTAAATATTATAATAATGTAATAATATGTATATATTTAAATATATATACAAATATGTCTTAAACTACGCATTGTATAATATTTATTTTTTTATTAATTAAATTGAATGCTAAAAAAAGAATTGCTCTTTCTTAGACATGATTGTTTTCAAATAAGGTACCATGTGACAAATTCATTCAATCACTTTTACAGGCCCCAGTAAAGACAGTAATCGATTTTACAATCTATTCTACTCAGACGCCAATTTAAAGTGAAAAGGTCACCGGTTATACAAGACACTTACTCTCCATTAGCCTCTAGCTCACAGATTTCAAAGAAGACCATCAGGTCGTATTTACAGTGGCACGGTCCTGCCGTGGGTCGTGTGAGAGCTGTCAGTTTGGTGGCGGGTACTATGCAGAAAGCAGAGGAAGACAGAGCATTAATCGTAGACCAATGGATATAAAAAATCAATGGCAGATGAAAGGGATACTAGAGTTTCACAGGAGAGATCAAGATATGCACCACAGTATAAGAGGAGGAATAGACCATAGTTAGAGAGGAGCAGGAGTGGGAGATCAGGAGTCCGATGTAAAGGCACACAGCTGTTAAGATGAATAAAGTCATGTGAATTACAGTGATCCCTGAACATCTGCACATGCCAAGCAGAATTATTACAGGAATAATTCACCCTAAAATGAAAAATTTCTTTCTTCCCTGGAACATAAAAGGTGAATTTCTGAAGAATATTCTGGCCACTTTCTTCCATGTAAGTTAACAAGGACTAGGGCTGTTGAACAACAAAATGACCAAAAAAAACAGCACCATAAAGGTATCATGAAAGTTATTCATTCATAACTCATGTTACAAGCCTTGTTAATTCATATGATAGCTACATATTGAGATGAAACAGAGAACCAGATTAGTGATTCATTTAACTAGATGCAATATACAAAGCTACTTGAAAGAAATCAGACTTCTATACTGCTTTGATGTGCTTACATGAACAAGATTTCAAGATATTGTGCGGCCTCAGAAGATTTTTATTTTTTTATTTTTTTATTATTTGTGCTTTTTTTAGTCATTTTGGAGTTTGACAGCCTCAGTCCACATTCATTTACATTATATTGGGGAAAACAACTGATCAAAACTTTACTTTGAAGTTCCACAGAAAAACTAAAGAATAAGATGAAGTGAGTAAATTATGACAGACTTTTCATTTGAGGATGAACTCTTCCTTTAACTCACACTTAACTAATACATATCTTTATGAATACTTATCATAATTTATTTTTTCAATTTGTCTCTTTCTGTAAGACAAACCAGTGAATATGATACTGTATATCCAGAGACAAGAAATCTAATAAAAACTAACAACCAATAACCAAATATTTAATAATAATGACTCAAAACTACTATCCTGCAGATATTAAGGGTCCACTGCATCATCAAGCACAGTTTCAAGTGACAGAACCAGATTTACTCATGCACTGATACATTCTTATTCCAACACTATTCATCAGTTTATTTCTGGTGAATGATGTGAGAGAAAAAGGCTAGAATTGTCCATCTGCTTGATGAGGTTTGTATGGAGAGGCTGAGGGAGAGAAAAAGACATACACCCACACACAGTATTAACAGGCCGAAACGCAGTCCCTGGAACAAAGCGTCCTTCAGTCTGTCAATGCAGAGAGTTTGTGTGACTCCCAGTGAATTGGGGAAAGTGAGTGAACACTTTGTCTAAATATCACTTATTTTTATGTTTAAAAAATCCAAGAAAATGTCCAAGTATAATTTGGAATAATTTAATAAAAGTTTGGAATAATTATGTTTTTCCAGATTGTCTCTTATGTTTACCAAGGCTGCATTTATTTGATAATATTGTTACAATTTAAAGTAACTGTTTTCTAATTTAATATATTTTAAAATGCAATTTACTCTTGTGATGGCAAAGCTGAATTTTCAGCAGCCATTACTCTAGTGCAGGGGTGGTGAAATCCAGTCCTGGAGAGCCGCAGTCCTGCAGAGTTCAGCTCTAACCCTAATTAAAACTCACCTGCCTGTAGCTTCCTAGTAACCGTTCAGACCTTGATTAGCTTGTTCAGGTGTGTTTGATTAGGGTTGAAGCAAAACTCTGCAGGGCTGCGGCTCTCCAGGAACGACGTTTGCCACCCCTGCTCTAGTGCCACGTGATCCTTCAGAAATCATTCTAATATGCTGATGTGGTGCTCAAGAAATGTTTCTTTTCAATGGTAAAAATAGCTGTGCTGCTTAATATTTTTATGGAATCAGAGACACATTACCATTCAAAAGTTCTGAGTAAGTATGAAAAAAGGGGGAAAAAATACTTTTATTAATCAAGGACGCGTTAAATTGATCAAAAGTGACAGTAAAGAGATTTATAATGTTACTAAAGATTTCTATTTAAAATTAATGCTGTTCTTTTGAACTTTCTATTCATCAAAGAGTCTGAAAAAAGTACCACTTTTTCTATACAAATTTTAAGCAGCAGCACCAACATTTTCTACATGATAAGAGATATTTCTTAATCAAATTGTATATGTTATGTTATGTTATGTTATATTATTACAAGTGCATTAGACAGACCAGAGGTTCAGTTTCAGGGACATTCTTTGGCCTTGAGCACTCAGAACCATTACAGACCCGGCTTCTGCGCTTTTATTACGGAACAGATAGACAAGGGCGGGGCCGGCAGTCTGGCTTGCTCCTCCCCCTCAAGGAGGTAGGAAACAGCCACGCCTGCTGCATTGAGGGCGTGGCTTGACAGCGAGTCCACCAGAGCCCCACTGAAGACCTCTGGCAGCAGGTGGCGAATCAGCTCCAGGTTCTTCTCCCGATCAGGAGGGGTGTCATTATCTGCGGCTATACCCACCACCAACAACATAAAGACTGTGACATGGGCACATGAACCCCAAACAGCAACATAAAAAAGGCAATACAACGACGAAGCAAAGAATATGTGCTAAACAGCTTCAGCCTGGCAGGACACATCTGTTAATGTTAATGTTCATAAAAAATGGTCATATACATTCATTGCCCTCACCTGGTTTGGAAAGAGGCATGACTCTCGGGAACTGTCGTCTGCATGGGCGCAACGGGCTGAAAAAAAAAAATCTGGCTGTCATTTCAGTATATTTGATGGATGAATCCAGACATTTGTAGCATGAATTAATCAGAGTAGGAAATAATAAATATCGCCAGGATCTACCTAATGAGATCCTTGCAGAGCGAAGGGAAAGGCTGCTTCTGGTAATGTCCAAACACTTCAAACACGATTGGCTGAGTCTTTATGTACTCTATAAAGGACTTAGTCACTTCCACAGCAATCTGGAAAATCAGAGAAACAGGTGTTTTACCATCAGTCTAATAAAAACAGTGTGACGTGGAGCTGTGTGTTACAGTTTAAAACTCACATTCTGCACATGATAGAAGCCAAGTGGTGGACCACGTCCAGTGTTCTTCAACGGCTCTGTGGAAAACGCTTCATCGTGCCTGTGAATAAAACTACAAACGAGGAGTTTTAAAAAAGTAAATTAGATACAGAACAATGACAAATGTCCACTAGTGGAAACAGACTTCAGAACAGAGGCACTTACTTGAACTGGCAGAATATGTCTGCGTATTCTGCGGATATGCTTGACGCCTGCAGCACAGTAACTCTGAATGTAAAGGCTTCTCCGATCCTCAAGTGATCCAGAGCGCCATCCAGTACGCCATCAAGACCGGTTTTGACAGGGCTGTCCAGCTCCTCTGTGTTAGCTATGAAAAAACACATGAAAGAAAAGATGTCAAGTCAAAGAAATATGAAAACTCCATGGGACAGCTGAAACTGGCATTTAGATTCAGACTTTAGAAACACAAAGTTGTAGGTCATGTTTCCACTTACACACACTACTGTTAATACTTTTATTCATACTTTTACTTTTTTTTAATTTGATCAAAAGAGGCAGTAAAGACAATGATTTCTATTGCAAATAAATGCTGTTCTTTCTATTCATAAAAGAATCCTGAAAACATTTATCATGGTTTCCATAATATAATATTAAGCTATACAACTGTTTTTAACTGTGATAATAAGTATATAATAGGTTTCTTGAGCATATTAAATGTATTCAAATAGAAAAAGTTATTTTAAATGACTGTTTTACTTGTTTTTGATCAAATAAACATAGCCTTGGTAAGCATAAAAGACAAAAACATCACCCAATGATGTAATCACAATTTTCATTTAATATGTTCCGAATGTTCTATGTTTCTTACTTGCACAGGTATTATTGTTGACCTCATCTGCTGACAGTGACATCTCTGCATTTTGGCCCTCGCCCTCGCCTGTACCCTCGCCCTCACCCTCACCCTCACCCTCACCCTCCACAATTCGCAGTTCTTCCTGAGATACACCAGCACGTGAAAGACCAGAAGGACAGGACTCTGACTGGAACTGATCAACAGGAAAGAGAAATACCTTAAGTAAGATGCCGTCGTTTGAATATCCACATTGACAAGTGTCCAGTGTACATTGTACATTCGAGCAATGACTTCACATGTTTTTTCCCATGACTGGACTATAATGAGCAAACCTAGAAAAGCTTATATTGGCTATGCAGGTTTCCATGAGTTTATCATGACCTTTTAAGATTGAATTCATTTCCATGATTTTCCAGGATTGGAGATAGCACTTTTAAATTATCTGATGTTTTCAGGTTTTATAGGACCATAAGAACTATGTTGTATTCTGAATGCTGGTTCTCAGCATCTCCAAAAGGCTACAATCATACTGGTCAACCAGCTTGACAAGAAAGACCATTTAAGCTAGTAAAAAGAAGCCTGGACTGGCACAGAAATTTAAGATGGTCTCTTCAGCTTGGTCTAACCTTTCTGTAAAATTGCTTCATTATAAGTGTTTAAATGTAAATACCTTCTCAAACTGCTGGTCTTCAAAAGAAATCTTGGCAGTGCCTGACTGTCGGACACCAGAGCCATAGTCTGGTGCCTCTTCATCAGCTGGAGGAAAAACCAGAGCACCTTCACATCACTTCCTCAAGAAGTCACACACAGTTTGCCCTTCATACTGTATATACAATCCCTCTGGCCTAAATACATCCTCTAACAGCAAAAAAAAATTATGTTCCCTTAAACTAATGATATATCACTACATATCGGCCATCTATATATATATATATATATATATATATATATATATATATATA